GGTCCCCCTAGGGATAACCATCAACAGCCTGAGTCCTGCTACACCCCCAACCACAGACATCACAACCTCAACATCCGTTATCCTCAGTGTTATCACACAAACCACAGCACGCAGGCTGGTGGCAATGTGCCCATCACTTCTCACGGGGGAAGAGGCAGGCACCTATTTTGGGGATGTGTGACCCTCTCTCCAGGTTTATTAGGTCCCAGAGAGTAATCTTTACTGGATGCCTGGTATTGAAATGGGGATGAGCTCAGAGGGGATGGAAAAGACAGGAGGTAAAGAGGCACACTCAGATGCTGCTCCAGCACCACTGTGTTCACCATGGAGAGGGCAACAACACATCTGCACCCAGATACCTGCTACCCAGCACCTGCTATCCCAACAAAGCCTCCCAGCATCCTAAAGAAACCCCAAGTTCACCTCTGGCAAGAGCCCAGCAGGGCTGCCCAGGGGGCACTGGAGAAAGAGAAGATGCTTTTCCTATGGAACACCTCTGTAGGTTTTAGAACTGCTGCTTCTGCACAATCCCAGGCTCAGGGACTTCGGCTTGGCTGCTTTAACACTGAGCTCTTGCTCCACTCGTTTTGGAGCAAAATTATACCCAGGAGTTGCTTCCTCTTGAAAGGCTCCAATCTCCCACGTCAGGCCCAGATAAACAGTTTTCATTCAACAAATCAATGAACAGAAACAAAGTAGAGCAAAATAATGTCAAGTCATTTCAGTGATACCGACAGCTGCTGGGCTGCACAGGAGAAAGGGAGAAGCAGGAGGGGGTGTGGGGGAATAGATGAAAACATGTAAAACGCAATAAATCACAGCTGGGGGGAATCATAAACCCACAAGCCACTGCTGCTCCCATACAGCGTACACAGTGTTGACTCCTCTGTTGCTAACAAAATGTAAAGTAAGATAGAAAAGAAATAGCAAATAATCAAAATCATCTTTGTTAGGAAGCAAAAGGGCTTTTTTCCAGTGCAAAGCTCTGAGGCAGAATGCAAAGTGGCTTGGCACAAAGCGGGATGCAGCCCCAACCCCTCACCATCGCTCCTTCCTCATCACAAACCACGAACCAGGACTCTGTGCTCTCACGCAGGAGGATTCAACTTGCACCAGCTCTGTGTAGAGTAAACTTTGGTGTAAGAGTGAATCCTCTTGCACTAAGGACCAAGTCTGAGCATTGCTCCATGGACCAGCCATGACAGCAGCACACTGACAGCTGCTGGTACAGGATTTCAGGGTCACTGCTGTGCCATGGCCATGTGAAGCTCAAGAGCAGTGTAGGGGAAGCCCCACTGTGCCTTAGGCCACACTGTGCAGAGCAGAGGCGAGTGCTCTCCCTAACAGCCGGGGTGTTTCCTAGCTCCCTCCAGCAGTGAGCCACAGACAGCACAGAGCCGCCAGCTCGCTGAGCTCAAATAAAACCTGCTTTAAATCGGAGTGGAAAACATGTTTTGTTGCAGCCTGAAAAGGCTGTGAGGGGCTCTGGCTGCGGGATGTGACAGGAGGGACGAGTGCCCATGGGAGCCCTGTGCTTGTTCACCACTGACAGGGGAGCGAGTGACCTCCTGAGGTGCCAATGGGTGACATCGCCCCAGGGATGGGGAGAAACCTTCCTGGCAGCACTTCGGAGCATTTGGGAGCTGTGGGTGAGCAAAGTGCCCTGAAAATGATGCCCATGAAAACTAGGATGGGTCTTTTTACCTGGAGCATGGGGACACCCCCCATCTAATGCCAGCACATGAGAGCTGCAGGCACACAAAGTGGGTATCAGCACCCAACGCCTCCAACTGGGTCCCCCTGCCCTGCACCAGGCCTGTGCAAGTCCTGCACCAAAGCATCACTGCACTGATGTTATTCATGTCTGTATATAGGATGACAAAGATAGGACAAGCAAAGCTTACAGACAGAAAAGCCTGGAATTTGACTTAAAACTGTGCCAGTGCAAGCCAGGCTCTCTGCTCTTGCAGAACGGGAACACGTTATAAACCAGCAGGACAGCACAGCTGGAAAATGAGTTTACAGTATTAACATTTCCAGGAGTAAGAGCCACTGGTGTGTCTAACTAGCACAAAGAACTGTCAGAGTTTGTATTAAATAATCCACCTGAAAGCACACCTCGATTCCTCCAGTCTCCAGCGTCCATGGAAGGGGTTGCAGTTGTAGTTCTCTCTGCTCATCCCACCTCAAACTGCAGGACACTGTGAGGCCTTAGAGCACCTGGAAGAGGACAGAAATGCTTTGCCAGGATAAAACTCCTCCAGGTAGAAGAGCATGTGGGGAAACCTCCCTTCCTGCTTTCTGGTGATGAAGACACAGCTACACATCTAGCTCAAAGGCATGAGCAGGTCCCACAACCAGCCACAACCCAAGAACACACAGCCAGTTTCTGGTGTGATACTCGTGTCCCCCACCTGCATTGCACACAGAGGCTCCTGCAGAAGGTTTGCCACGTTATGGTAGGCCCCACAGCAACCCCGGAGGGAGTGACAGTGCAACTTATCAACCACTGTTAGTTACCAGCTTATTTCCAAAAGCCACCAAAACAGGGAGTGCTTCCCCGAGGGTTAAAAATGAGGAATGAATGAGTTAAAATGTGAATTGTGACTGCCCTGAGCCCCCAGGCAACCCCTTTGGGGCAGCACTAAGCAGCACAGGGGGGCCTGAGGAGCCCATACAAAAATATACATGAGGCCAACTATAACTGACCAAAGAGACGGCTCTTCTCTTGGAAGACTGTATGAAGAGATGTATCTTGGCATCTTGGTTACTGCATGAAGAGATGGCTCTTCTTGTACCCTGTTTTGCTACACACAGGTCCCTCTGGCCTCCTGCTTTGATCCAGGGTCACCTCTTCCTCATGGTGCTTGGTCCATCTTGGCCCCCAAAGCTGTGGATGTGCTGAACCCAGGGCGACAGTTCCGGCTGCTGGCTGCCAGGGGCTGCTAACAGCATCCATATGGAAACATTCAGGAGGGGGAATGTAGTTCTGCCAAGCAAATGCCTCATCCTCCTTTGTACCCATCTACCTAACCACAAGGGACTGGAAAAATCACAGATGCTTTTGCTGAACACCCAACACGTATTTAAACCGCTCATTTTCCATCATTGCTGCTTTCCAGAGAGCAATGAGGGAAGAGATATAATTACACACAAACTCTGCTAAATCAAGAAGAGAGACAGTTGAAAATAGAGGGAGGGGGGGGAAACATTTAATTCAATTTATTTAGCAGCATCTTTATTGCAACAAAGGTTTTGTAATAAAATGCAGCAAAACTAATGCCTCCACTTTACATGATTAAAAGCCATGGAGCTGGGAAGGGGAGGGAAGGAGGGAGACCAATAAACCCACTGGAGTGAGACATGCAATTCTGATAACGCAAACAGCAGGCACTTCATGTTCTAAATTTAAACACCTGAACTTCTCCTGTGCACAACATCCAAGTGAAAACCACACAAGGATCTCTTCCCTTTCCAAAGGAGCAGCCTGGAGAAGCCTAAAGGGCACACAGGTCTTTAACAGGGTGCTGGTACTCAAGTAAACAGGCAGTTCAAGGCAGTGTCCTAATCTGGCTGCTTATTTCATGTATTTATACTCTATTATTGCCTCATTGAGAAGTTGAATCTCACATCAGCAGCAAACCAGCCTGCCTCACACACGGACACACAGCACAAACAGGACTCGCTTCTCCTGGCAGGAAATAAAGGCTGGGATCCCCAGGCTCAGAGTTTAACTTTTCCATAATCTGCTGTATAGTGCTCCAGGGTTAAAGCATTACTACACCAAAGTTATTTCCATTGCCTATTCCCAAATGCCGTCAGTAAGCAGGGAATGCATTTTCCATTCTAATCTAATGAAGTTAGTTGATTTTCAATGCTTTACTTGGTGCTTTGAACTCATTATTCCATTGGGTTTATAAAAATTAAGCAGTTCTGGGTAGATACTAATTATACTTTGTTCTGAATAAATGAAGTAATTGAAGACAAAGGGGGGGAAGGGAGTAAAACCTCAACATGATGGGTGAAACCCAACAGCTTTGCACATTGCACACTCAAGAGGAATTGCTGGAAGCTGCATTAAAACAGGGTGAATTAAATGTGCTTCCACCAGAAACAAGCACAACCAAACCCAGCCACTGCAAATGAGAAGAAACTGCTGGCATCAGCACTCAAGTAGTTCAGTATCTCATTGCTCAGATCCCCATGGTTCATAAATACTCTTTAAAATATATGATATTAAAACATTCATCTCAAAGACATCTGTGCAACCAATATCCACCATGCAATGAAGGCTCAGTCCTGCTCCTGCTTGGAGCAGGTATACCCCTGGGCATAGAGGACACCTCTGATGAAGGCAGAATATCCTCCAAAGGGACCCATCAACGTCTGTTGTGAGACCCATAGGGATGGCTCCTCCTCACCCATTTTTTCTCTACAGCCAGCCTCCCTTGCATGTGTTCCCCCAGGATCTCAGTAGTTCTGCTTAAAACTCACATTAACCAAAAGTAGGTTTTAACATGCAGGAAGTGACAAAGCATAATCTCAAATGTCAAAACAGGCTGGAAACCTCTTCTGCAGTGACAATACCATCTCCTGGACCATAAAGTACAACCTCAGAGCAGGTACTCAGAGCAGCCACCACTCTCTGTGCCAGCTCTGGTCCAGTACCAGACCAACACTTCAGCATACGAAGTGCAGGACTGCTACTCCCCCCAAAATACTGATGCAATGGTCCTGAGCACTAACAGCCTCCTACCTCTGCATCTCAATTGCAACTGGCTTTGCCTTTCTTCCTGTGTCACTGGGAACTCAGTTGCTGACTGCAAATCAGATCTCTCATAAGGCATCTCTCACACCTTCACCTACAGGCAGGCATCTCTGCAAGAACTGCAACACTGATGGTAAGTCCTTGCAGCATTTCCAGAGGGTAAGAGAACGTGGGGTCTGAAAGTGCTTAACTACTGTAAAGGGAAAACTGTAGGAAAGAAAGAAATACATAATTTATGTTGCAAAATAGAGTACTTACAGTACACTGTACTTTAATAGCTTTTATATATATATATATTTAAAACAATGGAAGGATGCATCATTAAAAATTTCCATGTCAGCACTTATCCCATCCTGTGCTAAATCAAAACCTAGCCTGGTTTACTTGCATAACATTCAGTTCTTCAGTTCCCCAAAAAAGCACTGTTTGCTGAAGGCCATTTTTGTTCTGGGTTTTAAACAAAAGCATCAATGTCATCTTAAAAACCATATACATTTACATTCAAGGGTAGTTACCTCTAGAAAAAGAACAAAAACACCCCCAAAAGCAAGTTAATTTAATATTGAACAAAATATAAACAACCTTGGAAAAGGTGATACTATCCACGTGTAATTTTATACATATATGTATATATGAACAGATATAGATATATGTATATATATAATACAGCATAAACACATCAGGAACACAATGGAATTCCAGAGGAACAGCTTATACTTGCTTCTACTCACTGTCATGTTGTTCTAGTTCAAATGCATCAGCACATGATTCCATATCTCAATACTGACTAGAGCACACTCCATAGGGATGCTGAATTCACTTCAGCCACATTAACTACTAGGAGTAGACATTAGAGGAGCTGGGCTCCTTCCCTGCCATGCCCTTCCCAAAAAATAAAACTGTAAGCCTGTTATTGACCTGCTAATGGTGTTTTAACTGATCCACATATAATTACTGTGATCCAAAAACCAGAAAATAGCCCAAACCAAACATCCCCACCTCAGAGGATATTCGCATTTACTACATGCCCGTTTGCTTTGGCTATCTTTTGTGTAAGCCCCCCTAAAACCCAGATCCCGTTCTCATACACAGATTTTACAACCATGTTGAGTGCACCAGCTCCAATAGCTTTGGTGCATATGCCCAGCAGCCTAACTGAAAAGCGATGCGGTTTGATACAAAACAGCCAGGTTGTGTTAAATCCTGGAGTCTCGGGATCAAGCTGAAGAGTACAAAAGCAAGGAAAATACAAGGTTACAACATGTGGAGTACTAAGAGCGTAAACACTGAGAGTGATTCCAGGTTTTCAAAAGATGAAAAGAAAATCATGCTCTGCTTCTCTCTAGCACCAAAACAGAAAGAAAAGGAAGTTCTTAGGTTTCTAAGAAAACCATTAAAACTTATAGGAGTCTCAGAGGCAAGCCCCAAGGGGAGAATTTCCTGGATTAAAGAGAATCATTTTGCTATGGGGTTTCTATCCTAAACGACCTGTTGCAAGTTAGAAGTGACTTCACACGCTTATGATGCTTTTTAGCCAAGCCTGCTGCTTAGTTAAAACCTCACTAGCAAAAAACACAACTGGGATTGAATATCCTTTAGGCTTAGCAGGGTTACTTTAAGCTATACAGAAGGGGGTTTCTCAAATACAGCATCATAATCATGCTACACAGCAGTGGTAGAAAGGATCCAGGAATGGAGCACTGAACAGAGAACAAACCTGGGAAACAGTCCCTTAAATCAAGCAGGAAATTCAATGAAGCAGTTCATATTGCCTCACATGTAGTGTTCATAAGGTCTCTCCTCCCCAAATCCTCTGCAGACCTTTGAATGAGAGTACTGAGTTTTAAAATTGTAACAGGATGCATATACCTATATCATGCTGACGTGATGGGAAGAAACAGTATTACAAAACCAGCCCCAGGGAAAATGTCAGTGAGAAATGAGCTGCACTTTCAAGCTTATTTGAAAATGTACAGAGTTTCAGCTCTTTGACTTAAGTTAGTTTGCATGTCAGAATAAAAGATTGTTATGCCCGTATCACAGTAAAATATCTTTTCACTTCCCCACTGAAATCAAGTACAATCAGGATAGGATTTCAAGCTGCTGAAAGAAGAGTATTATTCATCCTGGGGAGAGAAGAAATCATTGAAAAGAACCTGGCATCAGCTGAACTGAATCCAGAACTTCAATTCCTTAGGAAGCAGCTTAGAAGTCTTTCTTCTTAAAAAACAATATCTGGGCAGGTGATGCGTCTACCTTGTGACCAGCTTCTAAGGAGTGGGACACATCCCTTTCACGAAGCATAAAAGCTATATGATAGCATTTAAAATGTAATACAAGTTGGAACCATTCAGGTAAACCCTTGCTGGGTAGTGAGTAAATCATCCAGTATTATGTAATAAGATACCAAGGAACACACTGTAAAAATACATCAATTGTGTCATAATTCTTTTAAAAAGTGAAGATCTGGTGCCGTAGAAGTACGTTGGTTTCAGCTGCAGCTCCTCCCCCAAGAGAACACTCATGATACTGTGTCATACCCCAGACGTCTGCTTTTATTTCCATCTTAAGCTTTCAAGTTATCAGGTCACTGGTCTTTCATTTCCTGTATGGCACCGAATTTGCTCTTAAAAAAGTGTCTGTGTGTGTACGTGTTTGTACATGTGGCAGGCACCAGAATGCAATATTCCATCCTATTTTCTCTAGTTTCCTATGTCTCCTTGTCTGGTGAAGCAGCCAGTGGAGCAGAGTTCTGCAGAGGTCAGTTACATTGCCTTCAGGGCAGCAATATGAGAGCCCAGGTTCTCTTGCAGGTAATACAGGAGGTGGAGTTCATAGTGCTCTCCTGACTCAGGCACCCTTATGCTGTGTCTCTCCTGAGGGTAGATCTAAAACATAAAATGAAATCATTGAGTATTGATAAGAGCTTGAGGCACCAACATTTAAACCATAGTCAAACTATTCATGTCATCTCCTGCACTAACTCTGCACCTCGGCTAATACACCCCATCTTCCAGCGCCTGAACCCTGAGATACCCCACTGCACCCTCCAATCCAGCTGGTGCTGTGCAGGAGATGATCAGCCTGCTGAACAGAGGCAGATCCTGTCCAAAGCCATCACGTAGATCAGCACGCTCCCGGTTCTGCAGCATGGTGTGGGATAGCTGGGCTGCATCTGCACAGAACCAGGTTTAATTAAAAGCATAACCCAGTTCCACACTGCATGAACACTGCTGTACTGCCTCCAAACTGGAGGAACAGCCTGAACTGCTCATTTGCCTGATATTTTCCCTTGTTTACTCATAAGATCTTCCTTTTAAAAAAATATAAGGCTCAAATCCTACAGTTTTACCCCAGAATTCCAAGCTGTCCAGCAGAGCCATGTTACAAGTTCCAATTCTGGCCTCCTCAAGGACACACACATCACCTTTAAATCCCGATTCTGGCCTTACCTGTAAATCATACGGTTTCCCAGCTCTCACCAAGAAACTGAGCAGAATACTGGTGTGTGCAAAGTGAACATTCTCATCCAAGAATCCATGCAGCAGCAACAAACGGTTCGGTCTGAGAAAAGTAAGAGACAAAACATTTGCAGACAGCATTCCAGAACCATGCAGAAAGCATCCTGATAACTACTTTTTATCTAGCTTAATGTGGCTCTAAAGTGCTAATCATAATTGAAGATATCTTTGTCATTTCTTTAGACATAAAAGATAGTCTTTAATTACAGCTAGTATAAAAAGGATTAAATGGAATTGCCTGTAATTATGCAAATGTTCATTCAAGTATTAAGTTTATTAGTGTTGGGGTTTTGTATTTATTACTTTTTAATTATTATCTGTGCATTAGCATTTGTGATTCCAGGGTTCAATTGTCAAGAACAAGGAGATAAAAATGTGTCTGTGGGGCTTGAACTTTCCTGGTAGCAAAAGCAGAAGCAAGAACCAAACTTACTCAGAAGGAAACTTCTCCGCCTGCATGGCCACTGAGCCTAGGTAATAGCCCTGCTCATTGTGATCCGGGTGGCCCATGTAGCGCTCTGTGTAACCAGTGTCATAGAAGATCCACAGCGTGACGGGTGCTCCAGCAATGGCAACCTGCAAGTTCAACAGGGCTCTCTCAGCATGGGGAGGGGAATGACAATGCCTGACCCCGATGTGTGGATGTCCCTCACTCCCTCCCACAGCTTTATCCCAGTACAACTGTTATTACCCAACACACACTGGTAAGTTTACAATGCACAGCCTGCAGTGGAAAAAGAAAAGCCACCCTTGTTCTCCCTGCCACCGTTCATACATATCAGCACAGGTCAGCTCTGACCTACATGTGCTTTTGTCCAAAAAGCAGAGTGCTCTGGTTTCAGGTTGCAAAACCTGTGTTCATTTGAATATGTAACAGAAAGTGGGATCAATAGGTCCCTAGGACTCAGCAAACTACTCTGCACCACCAGCTTGCAGAGAGGCTGCAAAAGAAAGACCAATGAGAAGAAGAAAAAGCACTAAAAACCCTTTTGCAAGGCAATAATCCTTAAGGATGTGAGAAGTAATTATTAAACCTCCCAGTAATATTCAGGTTGGATTTAGAGAAAGCAAGAGCAGCCACAAAGAACAAAACCCATCTCGAGAGCAATATCCAGCTCTTATCACATCTACCTTTGAGGCTTGTCCAAGAGCAGTCTGGCCATTTACTGTAGTGATCTAAAGTCACAAAATCACAAGAACCTCTTTTGAGTATCTCTCCTCATGCCCAGGCTGCCCTCCTGGCTGCTTCAGAACACACTGCTGCAAAGCAGCATGGGCAATTTGATATGGAATAGATGAGGCTGCAAAGAGACTATTCTCTCAGGGCAAGAAAGAGGGGAGGAGAAGCGCAGGTCTCATTTTTCAGCAGGATCATTTCCCTCAGCTGGTTCAAAGCACAAAGAGCTTGGCAGACACAAAGCTGGCAACAGCTGATACTATATAAGGTACCTTCTGCATAGGTGACCCAAGATTGGTACTGCTATACCAGCACAGCTGAGTTACTGCTCTCTTACACAGTTCCAGAGAGGCAATATCCTTCTGTGCTCAGGTGAATGGGGTGTCTCTGTGCTATGAACATCCATGGGAGGTTACACGATTAAGGGAAAAATTCTGTCTGCATCACCAGAGTGAGTACTCAATGTATGAACATACCCTGAAGATATCTGACCTCTGCATTAAAGCCATAAGAGAGAGGTAGCCTCCGTAGGACCAGCCATGAATGCCAACACGATCCAAATCAATGAAGTCATGCTGTGATGCCAAATACTGCAGCCCCTCCACTTGGTCATCGATTTCTATTTGTCCCTGGGAGAGGAGAGGAAAAGGTAAGAAGTTTTGTTTGTTTTATTCTCAGGCTTTCCAGAGGTAACCACCTTCAGAGCTCTGCTGCTTCCACTCCTGCAGCACCCAACCGCACACCAGCACGCCACTGTGCTGTTACAGAAAGATGACCCCTTTCCCTCATAAGGCACTAAATACACGCACAAAGAAATGAAGAGCCAGACTCAGAGCTCCACTTACCATTTTGTATTTAAAGGCTCCTTCAAACTTCAAGCCCCGGTGGCAGGACCCCCTGTTGTCAATGACAACAACAACGTAGCCTAAAGAGGCCAAAGTGTTCAAACGGAAATACTTGATTCCTTTGAACCGATTGTTCACGAGCTGTACCTGGAACAGAAGAGCAGCAATGTCATGTAATGGAATCCAGAGGTTCCCCTCTTAATCCAAGTTCAGATTTTATTTACTTTCCTTTAAATGTTTTGTATATTTTTATAACATAAAGTTTTCAAGATCTCTGCTGCAGGATGCTCTCTCCCTGTTTGTGGCCTGCTGTGAAATAAACCCTTTTCCCACAGTAACAAGCCATTCTGTGTCATGGATCTGAAGAGCTGAACTAAGGTCCACTGCAGCACCAATGGGCATGGAGCAAGAGGTGTGGCTGCTGACTGCATGACCTAAACCTGAGCCTTCGGCTCTGCTCTTTCTGATCTTTCCCAGGAGAAGAATCTTTGCCTTCACCAGGTCTCATGCTATCTGCCTTGACCACAGCACTGCACAGTAGAGTTGGGGAAACCAAAGCAGGGCTAAAGGGCTCACCTTCTATTCAGCAGTGGGAGAAGGACAAGTGAGGAGCAAGCTCTCCTAAGCACACACTGGTAATGGTCAGTGCTGACAGAGTGCTCCCCTCACATACACACGAAGTGGAAACAAAGGACAAGATCCCTATGGAGAAGGAGGAGACAGAAAGGAAACAGGGACTGTCTGCACCCCTCTTTCTCCCAGATCTAGTTCTGCTGCTCCATACCTGTTCTCAGACAAGTGGCTGTGCCTTGATCTATAACCCAGAAATCAAGACTGCTTACAACAACTTTGGTCAAGCAGCTGCTCACCAAAGAGGCAAATGCTACACACTATCCTCAGCAGGGGGTAGGAACTGTTCATTAGGGAGAGCAGTGGAGTGATCCAGGCCAGCCCACACCACTGCTCCCTAACTTCTGCACTCACCTGAGGACCTCCATAGATGAAGAGCACAGTGGGGTACTTCTTTCCAGGTTGCAGGTTGTGAGGTTTGTACATCATCCCATAGAGCGTAAACCCCGTGGAGCTCTCGAAGGAGAACACTTCTGGGGGAATGTAATCAGGAAGAGGGCCTGCCACGGGAGGGAACAGAGAGCCTGGTTTAAAAGTGAACGGATGCATAAGGCAGCTGTGCTTCTGCCAGATCACCAACCTCCCTGCAATCCCAGTGAAGTCCTCCCACACTTTTCAGAGGGAATGCCTCAGCTGTAAGGGAGCTTTCTCAGTCCTATCCCATTCCATCCCTGCTCTCCTATGGATGGTAGTGGCTTTTCTCCCCTGACATGGCCATTACAAGTATCCCACCCTTTCCTAACCCCACTTAGGACTCATCTCATTAATAAATGGGAAGCACACGATATGGAGTATGTGTCAGGGAAGGAGAGATGAAAGGGAACAGAAATACAATGGATAAATAAAAGCCCAAGAGCTGTCTCACAAAGACCTTAGCAGGCAGCAGCACACAACTACTTCAGAAGTGTATGCTCCTTCCCAGAAGCATGATCATTAGCAGGCATATGGCACAGAGTAAATAAGGGTGCTTAACCCCCTCTCCTGATGCTAAAACTGGCTGTCTGCAGTTTCAGCTGGTTCTGGCAGTAGAAACTTGGTAATTTCCACTCTGAACTCCTTCATGACCAGTTTATACCCATTTGTTGCTGACCTGAAAACACCACTCCTGTGCTTCCAAGAACTCCTCACACAGGCACAAGTTTCAGAGGCAAGTCTAGTCACCTACAACAGCAAATCTCAAGCAAGTATATTCTGGGATATCTCATTCTGTGATCCTGGTTGTTCTTTCCCAATTCCTCATCCATGCCCTTACCTGCTGAATCTAAAATGGTAGCCCAGAACTCCTTTGTCCTGTGGGCTGCACCATCTTCAGGTCCTGTCAGGCGGTAAAGTGACACACAGTGCGGGTTCTTCTGATTACTGTACTTGCTGATGAACATGTCACAATCCTGGGGAGAAAAAGAACATTACCTTGAGCTCCCCAGTGCAGAGGCAAAGTGATCATTTCTTCCAGCGTTTAGATCTTTTAGAAGGTATTTATGCACCAAATTTAAAAAGGAAGTCTGAGCACTTCTGATAACAGCAGACAGACTCTGAGAAGTTACAGACCTTAGCAAGACTCAGCCAAATTTACACCTACAAAACTAATAGCGGCATGAGAACCCTGTCACACATCCTCTTATAGAATCATAGCATAGTTTGGGTTGGAAAGGACCTTAAGATCATCCAGTTCCATCCCCCCTGCCATACGCAGGGACACCTCACACTAAACCATCTCACCCAAGTCCTCATCCAACCTGGCCTTGAACACTGCCAGGGATGGAGCATTCACAACCTCCCTGGGCAACCCATTCCAGTGCCTCACCACCCTAACAGGAAAGAACTTCCTCCTCATATCTGATCTAAACTTCCCCTGGTTAAGTTTTAACCCATTACCCCTTGTCCTGTCACTACAGTCCCTAATGAAGAGTCCCTTCCCAGCATCCCTATAGGCCCCTTCAGATACTGGAAGGCTGCTCTGAGGTCTCCATGCAGCCTTCTCTTCTCGAGGCTGAAGAGGGTAAAGCATTCCCAGCTGCACAGGCTACTGCCCCAGATGCCTGGAACCGTACCCAGTGACAGGCTCATCTCCTCTGGTGATTGCTCTATAGCCCACTTCAGGTGGGAAAGTCAGGCTCAAGCTGCTTCAAACAATACATCCTGGCTCTCTTTGCCTGAAGTGAGATAAAGAGCAACTGAACTGGGAGGTCAAATCTAGTTTCCAGGCTGGGTTTATGCACTCAATGTACAACAAAAAGGATCACACAACACAGTGTAAAATTAGCTTCTGTTGCATTGAAATACAGCCTTGCCTGCTGACTGATGAAGGACAAGACTGAAGACAAGCCAAAGCCCACCCAGCCAGCCCTGACTATTAGGGCCTCACAGACAGACAGGTACCTGGCTGACACAGCAGGCGTGAGAGTAACCGCGTTCCGTCAGCCGCTTTATTTCTCCTGGATGCTCGTAGTTAACAACGTACAAGTGATGCTCTAAAGGCGAGTCTTTTGTGCCTTGGAAGTACACCAGTTTTTTAGCTTCATCAACATAGATCTGTCAAAATCAAAACAAACAACACATCCCTCAATATTGCTTCTTGCCAAAACAATACCCAGTTCTACTGCTTCCAAGTCTCCTTCTCGGCCCCTCCGCATAGAGCTGAGCTGGAGCCAATCTGAAAGGAATAAGCCAACTGACTGTTCTTACTGTACACAACTCTGTCAGTTGTGATTTGCACTTCATGCCTTGCTGCTCAGCTCTCTCATGCAGGTTCTTTACTCTTCCCAGTCTCCCCTTCTGTTTCCTATGCTAAATAATTCTGTCCCCATGGAACATTAACACTGTGTATTGTAGCTAAAAAGAGATGAGGTTAACGGACTTATGCTGATCCCTCCAACGAGTATCTGTTGATTCCAGAACAGCAGTTGGACACAACCATGATGTCTTTCTGCTCATGAAACCTGGAATTTCCTCACTTGTACCTCACAGTATTTTTGGTCCCTTCTCTTAAATTTAGTGGGGAATATTCCTTGTTGACAAGGATCCACACAGGAATGTGCAGGAAAAGAATGCTGTTGCCTGTGTTGCTTTCCGACACTGCCAAACCCACAACCTCTGGTCCAGAATAGCACATCAGAGGTAGAGAAGGATGAAAGCACACTGCATACCAAAAATCCCCACCATACATATGCTCAAACTCAGTATCAGGGAGTGGCAAGATCCACTCTTCTCAGGGAGCAGAGCCTCACTAATGTGACATGTACCAATCTGTGAGGCCCCAGAGATCATCCCTACAGTGTGCTTTGTTTGGAGAACATCCATACAGTAAGAGCAGAGACTTACATTGGATCCATGTCTGCCAAGCACTTCCCATTCCCCACTGGTAATCGCTATCTCCTCTTTGATGAGGCACTTGAAGTCACCTGCAAACAACCAACAGAGAGAATTTACACTTTTACATTTTACAAAACACATGGTCACAATAACGCTTCCTTCCTTCCAAGCTTTCCTACCAGACTAAACCCAGGAGCAATGTACCTCTGCAGAAGAGCTGCATCTCTGCCAGCTCCCAAATGTGAGGGTTGGTCCTGTTTAACACTGTGTGAAATAGGTGTTAAAGGATTCATAGGTTCAGCCTGAGACCTGGACAGCTTTTTAATGAAGTCTTTTGTCACTTGCACAGAAACAGAGGTTATTATACTGAAAAATGGGCGTGCAAAGGGAATCCCAGGAACCAAACAACAGGGATTTTTGAAACAGGATGGGGAACATCTCTGCTTTTAAAGACAGTCTCATTTCCCCGAGAATGAGGGCGATTTAGCAAGAAAAAGGAGTCAGATACATTCAGAGAAACCTAACCAACCCAAGATATAATGTTACCTGGGAAAAATCCCACTCCAAACAACAGTTGCATAAAACTAGGACCTCTAGTAAAACAAGGTGTGTTTTTTGTGCATGCAGAGCTCAGCAAGTGCCTTCAACACACACACAAGTAAATTAAAGTATCACAGCATGAATCTGTAAATGAAAGAATACATGCTGTGGAAAAACCACTCCAGAGCTTTGCACATAGCTTTGTCCTTCATCTGAGCAAGACCAAGCTCTGACTGCAGCTCAGAAGCACGTGGTCCTGATGTTTTTGCTTAAAATGGCTCTTCCTGCATATCCAACACAGTAATTTTCTCCTACCTACATCTCTGTCTACACAGCAATACCACAATTGGTTTAAAAGCAGAGAGGAATTCTCTGAATAGTTCCCATATCATAGGTTTCGCTGTCAAGGGCACATGTTCATTTATAAGGGACTAAGATGTGCGCCCACTGAGAGAGGGAGGCTCTCTATGGACCTTTATGCAGTGTGTTCAAACCATGCTCGTTGTCAGCCTCTCTGCTACCACCCTGCTTGTGAAGGCTGACAGGGACTGTGGTGTTTACCTGGAAAACGGAGCCCTGTGCCTCTATTAGATACATTGGACCCAGCACATTAGACACATCCATGTTATTGCTATAATGATTAACCTCTGGCAAAGTCAGCTCACAGGCAGTCCCAACACTGACAAGGAAAAGCCAACAAAGTGCATTTCACAGTATCACAGGGAGCTTGCTTCCCATCTGAGCTTCTGAAACTTTTCCCTCTAATCCCTAAGAGAGAATTGGGGTTAAATCTAAAGCACACTGAATGCAGCATAACCCCTGGACAATCTCAAGAATGACTAGCAGTGAAGTGCTTTCCTGGACAAGAGCAGGAGTTTCCAATCAGACAACAGTTCCTGCCAGCTGGAAGGACATTTATTTCCTCACTAGCTGGCAGCAAATGCCCAACTAACTCAAAACAATGACTTCACTTACTTGGAGCAGGGAGGCCTCCACATGACCGCTTATATTTGCTCTCCTTCAAAACAGAGGTGACTTTGTAGAGGTGCCGGAATCCTGTTTTACACTCGGTGGCAAAAATGAACTCTATCTCATCTTCATGGGTTTGAGGGAAGACATAGAAGATATCATGGATCTGTGGAGATGAAGCAGTGGATTACTGTTATCAGCAGGATAGTCACATAACACAACACAAGCTGTTCCTCTCACTGCTTAGCTCAAACACAGTTCACGTTAGCAGGGTGCAGCACTGGGAGAACCAGTTGTGCTTATGAGCCTGGGGGTGTCTGCAGGCAGCAGCCACGGATGCTGCACAGCTCCAGATGTTTTGCTCATCTAACTCTAACTCCTGGCCACCAAACTAATGATGTGAGTTTTTCTGCACCTGCCTTTCTAGCTTAGATACAGAGGTGGGTCCAGCTCTGCAAACAGCATGAGACAAACCCAGAGAAGCCAGAGCTCAGCGGCCTCCTCTGTCCAGTAGCCCACAAGTGAAGGGTTACTTAAAGAAAGAGCTGTCATCACCTACACACTCATGAAGATGCCAATTCTTTCTTCTTTGGAGTGACTTGGAAGCATTTATCTGCACAGGATGAGCTGCCACTCAGAAAACACTCCAGCCAGTAAAAATAATGGAGAAAGGAAAATTCACCACACCATCCTGAAACTATCCATGCTATTAGGAGAAAATGTGGTATCACAGAGAGCACTCGCTGTATAGGGACTATTTAGTGCCAGACTTTGTGCAAATGCTCTGCTGAAAGATCCAGCTGTCAGTGATTGGTGTTCCCAGGCCTTCCTGCACCCTGGCACACCTCCAATGGGATGTCATTTCAGAGACATTGATCTTTATCTGCAGCGGTGTGAAGAGCACTCACTTTTACAGCATTAGCATTGCACATAGGTGGCTGCTATCACAGCACAGGCCCCACAGCACAACTCCCAGGAGATTACATACAGATGTATTTCACCAGTCCACATAGGCAAGAAAAGGTTTTAGGAGTTGTTAACAGACTCCTGGAACTTGTTGACCCAATATCATCTAGAGAGACCTTTGTTGGCTGAAGGACACCTAATCTGCTGGCATTGCTGTTGGTGAACAACTGGCACCAAGAATCTGGAAGGTGTCAGTGGGTAACACTGTGCCATGGAACGCCAAAGCCCTGCGGGCTCTGCTCCTATTTCTGTCTGGCCACCGTGCAGCCTCAAAGCAGCTCTGTTTTCACATTCCAAATCCCTGTGTTCTCTACATACTGGTTTTTACAGCAGGAAGCACAGAATATACACACTGGGAACATTCTCCTAGGCAGCAGAGTAGCACCAACGTTGCTCAGGTGCTACAAGCAGTCTTGAACAGCAAACTATCAGAGAAAGCTGAAATTCAAATTCTTACATTTATCCAGATGTCTGTTGTTTCTTCATAAATAATGAAAGGTGTAACAGAATCCGGTACAGCATCGATAAGTTTCTGTCTTTCCATTGCATCATCTTCTGTGGGGATGAATAATGCAGGAGGGATCAAGACGATCTGAAGTCGAGTCTGGGAGCGATCCAGTAAGATGGACCAGATGCTGTTGAGGAGACAGATATTAGAGAAAATAATGTGCACTCATAAGTATTGGGTCTGAAAATCTCAGCAGACACTAACTAGCACTAGGCATCATGAGGGAGTCAAGAACGTTCCATTTCAGATTGTGGCTTACAAAGCTACATGTAAAATTTACCCACATAAACAAGTCTTCCCTTACACAAGAACCTATTTCACTTCATTTAAATATTGCATAAGCACTGCAGGTTCAAAAGTTTAATTAATTCTGTTCTCCCAGATTTGAATAGTGCTTAAAGTGAGAAAGATAAGAGAAAAATCAGGGGAATAATGAAGGAGAAAAACTTCAACTGGAATTTGAGGATACTTGTGAAAATACTGGTGTCTTCAACCTATACCTGGCAGAGAATAAAACTGGCACCTAAATGGATGGGCAGCAGAGCCTGCCATACTTCTGATGGCTTTGCATGTAGCTCTAACAATAATCCTGCAAAAAGCAAGATAATGTAGCCAATGTCTCCCTGCATTTCTTCCACACATTTTAGGGAGGGAAGGAAAAAGTTGAAAGCCATCTTTAGACTCAAGAACTGGAAAAGTGCAATTCTGGAGAATCACAGAATCATAGAATTGTTTAGGTTGGAAAAGACCTTTAAGACCACCGAATCCAACCATCAACCCAGCACTGCCAAGTCCTCTACTAAACCATGTCCCTGTAGTCCCATGTCTACATATCTTTAAAATCCCTCCAGGGATGGTTATTCCACCACTTCCCTGGGCAGCCTGTTCCAGTGTTTGATAACCCTTTTGGTGAGAAATCCTTTTGGAGAAGCTTCTGGTGAGTTAGAAACACTGTACTACATCATCTACAGGGTTAAAAATGACATGCAAATGTAAGTGGCACTTACAGCAGGTTTTCTGATCAGTAAGTCTGGTCAGCAAGGATGGTCCAGTGGTTAAGGCGCTAGCCTAGGGCCTGGGGGACCTGGGCTCATTTCTCTCCTCAGCCACAGACTTCCTGTGTGACCATGGCAAGTCACTTAGCCTCTCTGGGCTTCAGTTCCCCATCTGTAAAATGGGGATAATAGCACTGCACTCTCTCTCACAGGGATGCTGAGAGGACACATACATCAAAGGCTGCAAGTGCCCAATACCAAAGCAATAGGGCCAGGAAAGAGACAAAGAGGACTCCGGTTTGGGATTTGGAAAAATCATCCCCTTTGCACAAACAAGTCTGTAGCAATGTAAAAATGAAAGCAGGCTTAAGCTTGAAGAAGACAGAGACCACTACATTCTGCTTCTAACTGTATTGCCCCAAACCCTCTAAGCAGAGACAGGATTAACATACGCACTATTTTCCTTCTGGCGTCCACCCAGCTCTAGCAATGTACTCTACTCCTTCAAAGAGGATCTCGAACGGCTGAACTAGCTCTTTATCCACAACATCTGCAATCTGTTGACAAAGCAGCAATTCAGTGACACTGAGATGAACCCCCACATCCAGTTTTTCATGCACGATGAGAGTCTGGACACAGAAGACTTCTTCTGTGCAGCTTATGCAATTTAGATTGCTCAGCCTGTGCAACACAGGGGATTCAACCCCATGTCTAGCCAGACACCAGTATAATAGGAGAGCTGCACACTATAAGCACAGCCAGGGCTGGGACTTGGGAAATCTGGATGCTCCTCACCAATCCACCATTCATCTTGGACAAGTCACTTGAACACTCAGCTTCCCCATGTAAAGGGGAGGTGATTTGTACCAAGCTGTTTTGTGAGGTGTTTTTATTGGCATCTGTTGAACATCCTGCATGACATCCAGTTATCAGCGTGCTTCTAATTCATGATATGCAGCTCTTCAGTCTGCTCCTGCTGGGACTGGGAACAAGTCACAGTGGTACTCAAAGGGTCCCAATGGCTTTGCCTGCCTTTGCTGGCTGACGTCAGCATCACTATCCCAGCAGGTGACTGTTGATGGCTGAAGCAGCTCAAGAGTAGAGAGAATCCCAATAACATATGGCTGTTACTGTATCTGGTAAGATTAATTTCCCAACTGTCTGAAGATCTTGGACTGCGCTGTGGAAAATTCTGCAAAGTTCATCTCTTTCCATATGCTCATGCTTATGTAAGGTGATATTGTCTTTGCAAGCAAATTTTCCCCATATCTGCAGCCAATCAAGAGATCTGTCACATAAGAAGATCTAACCATCCACACCTAAAACATTCTGCTCTGCAGCTGAATTTGTAAACCAGTGGTAGGGAAGGAAAGCACAGCCTTGAGAAACACTGCTGCACACACAGACACCAAGTATCTGCATAGGAGGGAGGCAAGTGCACAGCCTCTAGAGAAGCCATTAAGCTATTCACAGCCAAGAAAGCTTGTTTGTACTGAACTGGAAAATGAACTTTACTAAAAAAGACTCACAGAAATTACAATTATTTGGAACACAAGAAGAATATAGAACTTACTCTGCCTTCCGCATTGATTGTCACTTCTGAGAGCTTGAAAGTGACCTTTGGATTTGCTGTACCTATAAAACAGATGTTAGAAGTCAGACACCATTTGTTTGCTTCCAAGAGGGCAGAGTTGAACTGCGGATTATTGTGGCGTTATTCATACAGAACTGGAAAAGGCAAACAGCAGAATGCTCTTTGATCAAATAGCCTACTTGCACATGTGAGGGACAGCACAGGCAGGGAAAAACGAAACTGCAAACATGAGGTAGATTCATCCTGCACACAGATCTGATTAAGAGCCATGCTACTGTCACAGTCTCTCTCACAGTCAAAGGATGCACATGCTCAGGAGTGATCAGGATAGAAAGCAAGCTTTGGTTTATTGTTTGGCTGTGATTCGCAAGGTGGCACACTGAAAGTGATCCAGTGCTAGAAAGCATTTATGAAAACTAAACACTTAAAGACCTACTGCCATGACTAATGCAGTTAAGATAATCAAGCTACATATTTGTGCTGAACACTGAAAATCTGAAGTTAACTCTTTACACAAAGCCTGTACAAAGCAGCAAGTCATCCTGCTGTAGAGCACCTGCAGTGCTAAATGCTGGGGCCTGCTTCACAGGAAGAAAAAAAGAGACTGTAAAGAATAAAGCTGCTGATCCACAAGAAGCCACATGTGGCAAATTCCATGTGCTCTGAACAGTCTCAGTGCTGCTGTGAGAATCCCCACTTCATCAACCTGCTTCATGTACAAACGTGATGCACTGGTGAAACGACCTGCCTTGGGCCCCAGTGCTGCCTACCTGAGCACTTACCTTCTCCACTGCCTCAAGCTTTGCCCACATAACAACCCACAGCAAAGGGCCATTGTCCCTACAGCTCAGACTGGAAACTGAGGCCCAAAGATTAAAACCTGGATATTCTTTTTAAGGATTTGGGCTTTGGCTGTCCCATTTTCCTAAACTGCTGAAATAAGCATTCACCTCAGCTATGACAGTATCATCTCAGAAATCTGGGTGTACACAAGGGCTTAAAAAACACAAGGAGTCATCTCTGGCTTCCCAGGCTAACACTGTGCTTTTCTTCCTTCTTGACACGAGTAAATCAGTATCAGAAGCAGAAAACTTTTCCCAGTGGATCAGAGAATCTGCAAGACCTGAATGAATCCTGCAGCTTGGGAAGGTCAGCCAAACAGAAGGTATTTCTCCAAAAAATGAAGAGTAATGGTGTGAGGAAAGAGAATAAAGCACTGTTACCTGTGAGCAACATTCCTTGCTGTAATAGTGGGGACACCGCAGAAGGACAAAGGTCAAACTGTTCAAACTTGCCCCATACACCTGACAGTGAATTGGCCTTGTCAGGTCTGCTTAAGTCTCACCTCCCTTTTTCCAATGGCACAATATTTACTATGCTCTAAGCCTGCCCTCACCCTTTTACTGTCTGCAAATATGACAACAGGAGGTTTTCCTGGTTGGCTGCAAGAATGCTGAATTTGCTTTTTTGAAGTCCAAGAGCAATCATGGATATCAGAGTCCTTCAGAACTTGAGCTGCCAGGGCCCTGCCAGCACCTGAACAGAAACCTTCTCTCAATTAATGTCCTTCTGGACATTAATTCTGCAGCTATTCCCTCAGAGACACACGGCTGTAATGAGAACCAACCCCTCCACAACTCAGATGTGCCAGGATCTGAGACACCAGCTCCAAAATAGTGACAATCAGATAGGGTTTCTGACAGCTCTTGAGACACCCAGACTTGGAGTAACCACATGGCTGGAGTATCAGCACAGTCACCAGGGATTAATGTAACCTCCCCAGCAGCAGCTTCTCCAAACATACTTTCACCACCTGGACACCAATTCAAAGACTACTCAACACCTCTCTAACAACCCCTTGTTCTAGGCTAGGAGCATCACTGCTATCAGGCACATGGAATAGAGTGTATGCCTCCCAGGGACAGAGATGTAAGGTATCAGGGCCTCACCAGTTTTTGGGTACCGGAAGGAATCTGTTCTTCTTGTCTCCAGCATGGGTGATGTGACATGAATAATTTCCACCTCTGACTCATCATTTTCTTCATAAAGAATTCGAAGAACTTTACCCCCATTCAGTGCTGTAAATGAATTAACATTTCCTGGTCAGAACAGCATTCATTATCAGCTATTGCAGGCATCAATATTCTCTCAGGAACGTGAGCTGGTTGGAAAGATGAAATAAAACCCAAAACCCGTGATTCATGTTTCATTAAGCAAAACACTCCGAGACTCCTACAAAGAAGGAAAGTCTCTTCCCCCAGTAACACGTGTCACAAGCCCACTGTAACATGCCCACTGCTGCAGAGAGTTTAAAAGGAGCCACAGGATAAAGTTCTTATCTTCATAAAAAGTAACAGAAAAAACTAACTCTGCACTGGACCCACAGCGGGTGGTGGGGCATTATTTGTGCCTGTCAGACTCACTGGATGCCCCACACTTACTTGGCTGTGCCTTTGGGCTCCACCAGTAGCCAGTGTATCTGTCAAACTCCTCCTGCAGCACAAAAGTTGCCACACCAGCAGATTTTGGATCATCCTCAACATTTGCCAGCTCTAAAAAAAGACACAGAAGAATCAGTTCACGATATACTGCAGAAGCAAACCAGTCCTGCATTATCCTAAACACTGACCCAAGTTCATCCCTCCAGGAACACGACAATAAATCACTTCTCAGCAGATTTGTTTTCTGCTTCCACCCTGCTCTGTTGATTTATTTAGGGAGGATCTAATGCTCTCTGCCATGGCAGCTTCTTTCAGGAAAGGAAAGCCATCCTCCCTTCTTACTCCTACCCAACTAATCTCTCCATTTCCTATGTACCAGTTGAAGAAAGAAAATGTGCTCTCTACCTGAGCTCAGTGAATTGCGACTGCAATCTTTAGTTAAAAGGAAAAACCAAGCACAAACCTTTCTGAACAACTCTAAATGAAAACACCAACGTTCAGAAAAGGAAAGCTTCAGCATTTCATTCATTGCACAAAGCAAAAGTAAGAGGCTTACATAACATGTCAACATGATGACATCTCCATAGGGCTTCAATATTTTCCCTGTTACCCTGGAGGTAACTTAGCAGCGCTCCATAAATAATTATCATCTGAGAAGGAGTCACTGTTACAGTTTATTTTTAATGTACTTACATAATATTTTAATATTTAACTTTTAAATAGGCTAAAGTATTATTACAAAGTGCCAGAAATTTTAATTTAACTGCAATTTAAATTATATACTTTAAATACAAGGTGTGATTTAAATGCAAAACAAAACACTTTTTTAAAGAGTTTTATCCACAATTTGCCATTTTCCTTCCTCCAGGACACGTCTGAAACACAAGTGGAGAGGGCAAGAAGCAAGAACCTAAGTTACTGAGTATGAGGGGCCAGCAGAAGGCTCAGTGCTATTCAGAATCTGCCTATGCTGTCTCTAAAAGGCCCTGCAGCCTGATTTTCCTGACAGAAACTTTCCACCCACAGCTCCTCCACACAAGAAAAGGCTGTTCCAGTGAAAAGGAATGCGCTGTTTTTCAGAAGAGCCCTTCCATATGGACTCAACAAGTAACTCATTCTGCCAGATTCCTCAGTGCATCCAGAATCATCCCACGATATCTGCACTAGAGGAAACATACAGAACAGGACAAACAAAGTGGAATAAACAGGGGCCATTCCCCCAGATTTCAGAAGAAGCCCCAGTGCCACTGCTGAATTCAGTCTAGCAGGAACAAGTGCAGAGGAGGTGCATAGATTTTAATTCAGGATGCAGTACCATGGTGCACAAATGTTAGCCTCCTTTCTTCTCTTGTTTCTATATTAGATATCCAGATGTCATTGCTGTGGATAAATGCAATCCAATTTGGATCAGCTGGACAAAGCTTGGGATCCATGCGGATATTTGGACAACTGGTCTCTACCAGAATAGGTCTTAAAGGCTGTTGCTGTTGGGAGAGAAAAAGAAAAGTATAGTAAGCAATGATAAGACATGAACACTTACAGAAACTAACCTGGATTACCTCTAAGACCACAGTAGTGTGAACACTGACTTCAAATACACAGGTTTACAACAGAGGAATCAATTTTAAACACAGAAAAATAATATGCAGATATTTTATAGGTAAAATTGTGTTTCCACCGTGATTGCACAGATCCCACCAGAGCATCTTTCACCAGTGCTGAAAATTAGCCACAAAGCAGAAGGCAGTTTGCTTAGAGAAGCCTGGCACACTCTTAAAACCAGCACCCTTTTAGGGCCTGGCAGAACATACAATCTTGTCCTCCAAAAGCAACTCAGGGTACCGTAAACTCCCGCTGACAACAGGGTTAGACAGACATCAGGCATCTGTTACAATAATAAGAAATCACTGCAGCTTTGATCTCCAGCTTCAGCACCAGCAGAGAAAAGGCTGCTTGTTCTGCAAGCCATACAGCCAAACCTTCTAACACATACAGCACTGACTGCTGAACAGTGACATCTAAACCACAGCCTGGGAACAGAAGTTGCCTCTGATGCAACTCCTGACTACATGAAAGAGCACCCTTCTTTTGGGCTTTGGTTGGCTAAAGGTTATCAAGGCTAGCTGCCTTTTCAGTGCAGCAATAACTGATGATCATGCTCTTTTGCTTTCAATCCAAGCCAGAGCAAAAAAGTCCTGCAGTGAGATAGGAGGATGGATGAGCAAACTCACAGTGAATCCATGAGGGCCTCCATCTTTCACATGATAAATTCCACTCCCTGCCTGGAACAGGAAGGTGCCGCTTTCCCGGTGGTAATCGTAAGAGGCAATCCCTATGGTGCCAATCCGCTTCCTCTCCCGCAGCAACTCCTCTTCGCGAGAGTACATCCCATAGTCCAGGATGGCCTGAATATGGGCAGAGAACCAAACACAACAATCAACACCTCTGCTCTGCATGCCACGCTGCCCTGTCAGAGCATCTCTGTATGCTGAGCTTCCAGGACCAGATGGCTCTGCAGACACCATTCTCCTCCAGAATCCTGCTCATGGCTAAGAAGCCTACTCCTGCTTATGTCTGTATCGTCAGCACACGTAGGTGCAGGCCATGAGCAGATCCTGCACAGCTCTGAAGCTGATAGCCACCTCTCCCCTAGCACAGCATTATTTCCAGTATCCACTGGTTTAAGAAAGATCAAACTGGAGGTCTGTTATTTCTAGAATGGGCAGGAAAGCCTTTGCTAACCTTCATGAAGACACACAGTAACTGGTCTGGCTGACAGCCTCAGGAAGTAACATGGAGATAAATACACCTAATTTAACATGGGGAGTGTCACACCTGCTCCATCCTACCATGGTGCATGGGATAGAACCAGTGCAGGCTTGCTATCTGCAGAGGTGAAACGGGGATACACGTCCAAGGGAGTGGGATAAGGATCTTCTGCTCCAGCATGAGTCGTGGAGCTACTGAATGATCCTCAGAGGGACTCATCACTTCCCCTGCAACAGTGATTACTGGAGACTGGAGGCTCCTTCAGCAATCCCCAGCATCTCACAGCAGAGAATTAGATGCAAATTAGCACTTGCAATCTGTGCTGGCAAAGGAGGAATCATTCAGCAGTGAAGGCTGTAGCTCCAAGCACTGCTGAGAAAGCCGTGCTTGATTTGAGATGGCTGCAGTTAGCTGAGTATAGGGCAAATCTTAAGACATTAAACTCCAAATTTTAACAATGGCAAATTAGTGCAACCCCAAAGCCCATGTCCTTGCTACACTGCCAAGAAGCAAGAAAGAAATAGGGACCCACCGGAAAAAGATCCAGAAGAGGCTTCCAGGAAAGCAACAGAGCTGCAGCTTTGTTTATGGTTTTGGGAATCTCAGAGTAGAAGAGCGTGTTCTCCCTGTTCTCACCAGACATTGCTGTTGTGAAAGTGAGGAGGGGAAAAAAATTAATTAGCTTTCTGTTCATTATCCAAACACTCTCAAAGGATTCCCAGCAACAGTTTTGCAGGCTCTTCCCACCAGAAAGTATCGCTGGTCTCTGCACTGCAGCCTTGCTCTGGGAATTCCCTGTTTCACAGAAATGTAAGTCCCGGAGAAAGCAGAGAACATGAAACTACACTCAGGCTTTCCCCATGCTGCCTAAGCCTGCCTGCGTCTTCTGAGGGGACCCTGTATTTCTATAAGCTTTTGAAATGAAGGAGGACCTTCCTGCTAATTCCCCTGGCTGGATGCAGCACAATGCAGCTCATGCTTCAAAGATAACTCATCTTTAGGAAGGTCTGAAGGTCCCTTTCTTGCTCCTCTCCCTCAGTGCTATTCAGATTTCTGAAAGCTCCTGCCAAAGTAAATGGGAACAGCCCAGAGGGAGCCAGATGTGCCTTGAGGAAGGCTAAGTCTGATCTATAGCTCAGGAACCAGCACATGGGAAACCAGAACTCATCTCAGCTGGGCCTTCATCCACCCTTAACGTGCTTGAACTCAGCATCATTCTATGATTATGATCCCTGTCCTCTGAAAAGGGGAAAAGGAGACAGATCAGCAGCTTTCTATGCACTGCACAGCACATGCAAAGAATCTGTGAATCACAAATCAGAGCTTAAACACCCAGCCTAAGCAGCAAGCAATGGGGCTAAAACACAGTTCTGGCTCCTAGGCCTTTGCTCCTCTACCTAACCCAGTTGTTCACGGAGTTATGTTCAGCTCCGGCAGCTTTCGACAAAAGCATTCCTCCTCCGGCTCCAAAAAGCCACCAGGAATGTTGTTCACAGTACCATTTACATGCCAAATCACTTCTAGCACTTAGAAATGCAGATATACCAAGTGAAATTACATAGTGAAACAATACAGGAATGCACTGAGGCCAACAACAATAAATTACATGAAGTTCTTCATTATTAAGACTAAAAATGTTGAGAAAAGTTTTTACTCTTTAAAATGCCTCTGCCCTACACTGCTATTTAGTCCCCACAGGATCCCTGAAAAACCTACTCCATCAGTAGCTGAGGCACAAAGGACTTGCAAAATTACACTCGTAATGCCTGCTTTGGAAGGAAACTTTGAAGGAGAACAAAGGTTCTGTCGACCAGTTCAGAAAAGGGAGATTAAAACTACAGAGCTTTTAGAGAGGGGATATTGTATGGAGATCAGATTTAATCCATCCTCCCAGGTAGGGAACATGCTCCAGAGGACACTTCACAGTTCTTTTCCAGCTCTCACAGGCCTGAAGAGCCACCCAACCACACTATTTCCATGGGAGATGAATTCCAAGCTTTACTGAGACATGAAAATCATGATCATGACATTTGAGCAGCCAATCTGGCCTGAAATCCATTTGGATTTAACTGCCAGGAACATCCCGCTCTCAAGAACAGTCAAACCCTAACAGCTTCTGCAGGGCCTGTTCAGTCAAGACACAGGCTGTCACAGCAAGCTTACCCAGATAGTAGATCCTATCGGAATGAGGTCCTTCAGGATCATTTTTCTTCACAAACGTGAAGTCATGAGGGGCTTTTGCCATCATGTAGCCATGATACTTCCGTGTGTCTGTGAGCAGTTTCCGAAGCTGGCTCCAGGAATGTCTCTCTACATAGAAAGGTTCTGGTTTGGGCTGCTCCTCCCTCTGGACCTGCTCCTCTCTGCCCGCAGTTTCAAAGATCTCGAGGCCCGGCTGTTCAGTTTCCATGGCTGCTGCCATGTTGCATGTTTCTGGAAGAACAGAACAACAGAGGTTCAGCACCACCTTCCAGCAGACCAGCAGACTCTCAAACCCACAGCAAAAGTGCTAGAAGGAAATCATCTTTTCATGTGGGGGAAAAACCAGCAGAATGAGGAGGACCAGGCAAGAGATTTCTGCTGTGGAAAACAGGCTGTCACCACTCAGCCTTTCAGAATGGCACTAAGAACTTAATACAGCCACAGAGAGTTGTTGTTGTTTGCCTTTCCCTTGCCCCCACACATCAGCTACTCTGATTGGTTCATGAAGTGGATAAATTCTTCCCTGTTAAGCTCTCCTACCTGTTTCTTCCTCCCTGTAAACTGCACGAATGCTATACTGGTATCAGAGCAGGGGGTGAGGAGGACAGTAGTAAGGCATGGGACAACCAACTGCTTAGAAGAAACATTAGTAGCTGATGTGGAACCATCAGGTCATACATGATGGTCCTAGGAAACTGCATGCCCTTATTCCTATACTTTTCCTATAATTTTCCTATAATTTCTTGGATTTATTTATATTTCCTTTCAAACAAAGCTTGGAAGGGTCTAGCAACCATCATCACTATCATCATCTCAGGGATATAATTACAAATACTGTATGGATAAGACTTCCAGAAGTGAGGCAATACCAGAAGGGGACATAGTGAAAAAAGCATTTTCCAAACAGATTTATCTGGAGCATAGGTCTTATCCTCCCAAACAGGCCATTAATTCTCTCTTCCTGCAGGCAGCTGTCCTTCACAAAGTATATCTGAGCTGGAATTAACTGCCCAGATGTCTCCCAAGAGGAAACCAAGTCCTTCCACTGTAAATCCCAGATCTGAGGGCAGCTCCAAAAGGATCCAAGCTATAAACTCCCTCCACATAGCTCATTACCAGAGAGACCAAGGATTGTCATTCCTCAAAGGGAGGGGGTTTTCTATATATAGAATGGAAAAACAGCACAACTGTTCTGCACACTGCAGAACAGCAGAGCTTGGTGACCTGACAGAATACAGACTAAATAAAGCATTCCCATTGAGCAGAGGCACTAAAGGACCACTGAATCTCAAGGTATGGGGCTGGGCTCTCCTGCAGCTCTGCACAGCTGCTGAGATATCTCAGCATAGGCGAAAAAGAAATGACCTACACCTTGGACCAAACCCATTTTATAACACAAACTGCTAAATGCAAAGCAGAGCAAGCATGGATGAAAAGTTTGCTTCCACCTTTGCGATTACAAACACAACAAACATGGACTGAGCTATTTACAACACAAATATACGGCCCCTGTAAAACTGGAAGGAGAGTCCAAGCACATACACAAAGCATTGCTCTGCTCAGACAGTTGTAGAAACTGAGCATGAGACTTCAAACCTGCATCAGAAAACTCGCATCAGAATTCCAACGAAGAAAAACCCCCTTTCCCCACCTACACCCAGACGCTGTTAAGCCTTAACCTGACATAATTCCCACAGCCCCTCCCAAGAGAAGAGATAAAACCAGCGGGACAGTAGACTTTAACAAGCAAGCAAGAGGGAGATCTGCCACCCGGCAACGAAAGGCTCTACCCTGGGGAATCACTACGGGTTCTGAGCCGCAGCCACCTCCCGCTCCGAGAAGCGTTTCTTTTCCACCTCCCTGCAGGCAATAACGCGGGGCTGCCGCACCCTGCACAGTGCCTCAGGGCACCCTCCAGCACCGCCACACCGAGTGCACTCGCGAGCTGCACTGAGGGTCGAGCCGGGTGAGCAGCCGCGGGCCTGCCCTTGCCTCCCAGGCCGGGGAGAGCGGGCAGGTCCCGGGAGGCGCCCGCAGGGGACTGCTGCAGGCCTGGCAGGAGGCGGACAGAGGCCGCCCCGGGGCAGGCCCTATCCTCCCCCCCCACACAGGAAGGTACCGACGGCTGCGGCCCCGCTCATGGGAGGCCACTTCCCGCTTTCCCCGGGATTCCCGGGACCCACAAGCGGCCTCCCCCCGCCTCCCGGTACTCACGGCGCTGGCGGCAGCGATGGGGCCGAGTCGAGCCGCCCCGCCGGGCTACTTCCGCTTCCGGCAGGAGGGGGCCGCCGGGCCACTCTAAGCGAGGCAGCGCCCCCTGCAGGAGGGGAGGAAGCGGCGCTGCCGCACTTGCAGAGCACCGCTGGGTGCCGACGAGGGCGCCGCCTGACGGGCGGGAGGACCGGGCTGCGGGGAGCCGATGGAGGGTCGCGGAACACGCCGCGCACGTCAGGAGTATTTCCAAGCACTGACAACGCGTGTTCAGGCCAGGGCACCCCCGGGAGAACGTTCCCTTTGCAAAGGAAGGGTCAAAGCCAAAGTCTTCTCTGATCCACTATAAAGCAGGGAGAACTCTGCATCAGGTGCCCCCTCCTCAACACAAGCACACCTCAAAGCCCCTCGGGACCTGATGGATGTGTTTCCCGCTGGTTTTCCTGTGCTGTCTCCCGTGTGCTGCCCTGGGATTCATCAGCCCCTAAGAGTACATGGGGTTTGTGTTTAAAGCAACCCAGGAACTATGGCTACAGCTCACACAACCTTCTGCAATGGCTTCGCAGGCCCAGAGCCTGGAAACCCTCCGCTCAGGGGCAGGCTGAGGCACGGAGCCAGTGTCTACAAACAGCACAGCATTTTCTATCAGCCTCCCCCTGTGCAAACCTCATGAGGTTCAACAAGGCCAAGTGCAAGGTCCTGCACCTGGGTTGGGGCAATCCCAACACAAACACAGGCTGGGTGGAGGCTGGATTGAGAGCAGCCCTGAGGAGAAGGGCTTGGGGGGTGTTTGTTGATGGAAAGCTCAACACAATGCAGCAGTGTGCGCTCACAGCCCAGAAACCAACCATGGCTGTGGCTGCATCAAAAGGAGCATGAGCAGCAGCCGACGGAGGGGATTCTCCCTCCTTGCAGTCCTGATCCAGCTCTGGGGCAACAGCACAAGAGGGATGTGGAGCTGTTGGAGCAAGTCCAGAGGAGGCCATGGAGGTGCTGTGAGGGCTGGAGCAGCTCTGCTCTGGAGCCAGGCTGAGAGAGCTGGGCTGGGACAGCCTGGAGAAGGCTCCTTAAGGGGAGACCTTAGAGCAGCTCCAGTGCCTAAAGGGGCTGCAGGAAAGCTGGAGAGGGGCTTGGGACAAGGGCCTGTAGGGACAGGCCAAGGGAAATGGCTTGAACCTGCCAGAGGGGAGACTGAGAGCAGAGAGCACCCTGCTGCTGCCCATGGCAGAGGTTGGGGCTGGATGAGCTCTAAGGTCCCTTCCAGCTACATCCCAGGAGCCGTGTCCTTGCCCAAGGCCGCCCTCAGGGCAGCCCTGTGGCACAGAGGGCGCAGGACGGGGTCAACCCCGCCGCCGGTTACCACAGTGACACCCCACACCTCAGAAAGCCCCCGCAGGGCGCTGAGACCCAACAGTGCCCAAAAGCCACCTCAGTGTTAAAACACCCGCCGCGTTCCCTCACCGGGGTCGTTGCCATTGAGGGCAGCACCTCTGCGGCGGCGCGAGGGCCGGCGGGGACACACGGAGGGGACACACACGGCCCTGAGGTGGCGGACGGGAGCGCTGAGGAGGGGCGGGTGTCACCTGGGAAGCGAGGACAGCTCCGAACCGCGCAGGCGCGCACTAGGACCCCGCGCACCAAACCCGGGCGCGACGCAGCGCGCAGGCGCACGGGAGCCCTCCCTCCTCTCTCCTCTCCCCCCCTCCCCGGTCCGCCCACGGGAGGGGAGGGATACCATGGCGGGCCCGAGCCTGCGGCCACACGTGCACTGGGCGCAGCGGCACCGCGAGCTGTACCTGCGAGTGGAGCTCAGCGATGTGCAGGTGCCCGGGGTGGGGGGGGGGGGGTTTGGGGGTGGTGTGCGTGAGGGAGCGATCGATCGGTACCTAACGCTGCCTCTGCCTCCGCAGAACCCCGACATCAGCATCGTCGACAACGTCCTGCGCTTCAGAGGTACGGGCCGTGACCAATGGGGGGGTGTTGATCGCTGCCGGGGTGACCTGCCCCTATCGCTGCGCTCGGTGGTAGTGCCCAGGCAGGCGCGGGTGTGTGGTGACAGGCACCCACCGACAGCGCTGGCAGTGACAGCGGGGTTCGTTACCCCCCGCACCCCGCCTGTGGTACCGGGGGAGGTCATGGAGTGATGGAATGGTTTGGGTTGGAAGGGACCTCAAAGCTCATCCAGTTCCAACCCCTGCCATGGGCAGGGACCCCTTCCACTGGAGCAGCTGTGTCCAACCTGGCCTTGAGCACTGCCAGGGATGGGGCAGCCACAGCTTCTCTGGGCACCCTGTGCCAGCGCCTCAGCACCCTCACAGGGAAGAGCTTCTGCCTAAGAGCTCAGCTCAGTCTCCCCTCTGGCAGGTTCAAGCCATTCCCCTTGGCCTGTCCCTACAGGCCCTTGTCCCAAGCCCCTCTCCAGGTTTCCTGCAGCCCCTTTAGGCACTGGAGCTGCTCTAAGGTCTCCCCTTCAGGAGCCTTCTCTTCTCCAGGCTGACCCAGCCCAGCTCTCTCAGCCTGGCTCCAGAGCAGAGCTGCTCCAGCCCTCGCAGCATCTCCATGGCCTCCTCTGGACTTGCTCCAACAGCTCCATGTCCTTATGTTGTTGCCCCAGAGCTGGATGCAGGATGTCCTTGTTTCCCACATGTCCTCGCTGTCCTGGGTCAGCTGAAACCCATGGATAACTCAGAGCAGTTTTTCCCTTTGACAAAGTCTGTCTTTGCAGCTGTTACCAAACCTGTGCGCTGGGAGCGAGCGCTGGATTGGAAAGGTAAAGCAAGTCTCGTCCTGAGAGATGGAGTTTGCTTTCACCAGGCAGCTGCATTGTGGTTCTTGTGCTGGTCTGCTTGTCCAGGCCCTGCTGAGGATGTGCTGTGGCTGGTTTCGTTTGGGTTTTCCTCATTTATTTGGTGTTTTTCTTTAAGAAGCCTTGTTTAGGAAGTGCTGCCCCAGCCAGGGCCATTTGATAGGGGTGTGTTGCACATCAGGTTCACTTCAGGATCAGTTTACACCATGGAAGGGTGGTAATTACACTTGGTGTGCAGGTTTTCATAGCCCTTCCGGGAACAAGACCTGTGTATGTGGTCAGTGAGAAATGAACACAGCTTCCTGCCCTTGGGAATCCTCACATGCTGCTCCCCCAGACCCGATGGACACCAGTTGCCGTGGGCACTCGCTCATCAGTGAGGAGCCTGGATCTCCAAAAGCAGTGGCTTTTCAGCTGGATTCAGGTTTGCTGTGAGCAGCCTTTAGGGCCTTTCTTATGGGAATCTCACACGCTGCTTCCTGCAAGCAAGGACCCTTTTCCATGCAGCTTTAGCTGCCAACTCCAGCAACTGCAGCTCCGAGCAACACTTGGGCTGTTTGTGTCTTCCCTGTTACTGTGTGGTTTCCTCTTTCAGTGCAGGGGGAAGCACTGTGAATAACCACGGAGTATTTCTATGTCCTTGGCAGATGGGGTGTGCGGAACCTAACTGGGACCCTTATGCTGACTGTTCATTCTTGTCTTCTAGCTCAGGGTCATGGTGCCAAAGGGGACAACATCTACGAATTTGAGATTGAGTTCCTAGAACCGGTTGAGCCTAAAGTAGGTATTTTTTTACTTTTCTAACTCTTGTAAGGAAAAAGTGATTTTTGGAAGGAAAATGTGTAAAGTTCCTGGGGACTCTGGGACTACTGCAGACAAAAAGCCAATTGTGGCAGTCCCCTGTCCCAGTGCGCAGCCACCACCCTGCCTTAATGCAAATCACCTCGCTGGAGCTGCTGCTCGCATGGATCAGCTTGAACAGAAACAGGGCTTTAGGTGTATCCATTGTTAAACAGCAGTTATGGACTTTTAAAGGATTCAAAGCAGCAAAATAATGGGGAATACCTTGGTGCAACCTTGACTGGAGAGCAGGGAGGGGAACGCTGTGCTGCTAAGTGTCACTGTGATGTTTCATGGCTTCTTTTGTAGCCCAGCATAAGAAAGGCATGAGAACTGCCATGCTTCTGGCTCGTGCAGATTTCTTAGGTTGCCAGTACAGATATGCTGTGGTTCCTGTTGCAAAAATCTGTCCTTAATTCCTGTTGTAGTCTGATAAGAGAATTGCTGTTGTAGTCTGCTAGGAGAGAGCTTGGCTGGAGGAGCAGTCCCTGCACATTACTCACAGTTGGCTGTAAAGTCTGTCTTTTCCTCTCGGAGTTGTTAGGGGCACAGGGAAACGCTGGGCTCTGCTCGAGTGCAGGATTTGTGCCGTTTATTCCTGGCTGATTGTTGGGGATAGCAGCAGAATGGGAGTCACCGTTCACCTTTGCTGCTTCAACAAGGCAGGGGACTGCTGGAGGGTGGATTTCTAGGGTCTGTCAGCAGAGAAGTGTCTTGTGGCTCCTACCAGGTGCTGAGTGGCAGATAATGAACATCTCCTGGTTCCAGAAGCTGGTCACCAGTTTGTCATCTGGCCCGTAAACCAGCAGCTGCCTGGTCCACAGTGTGAGGAGAAGTGCCCACCACTTGTCCTTGGTGCTGGCAGACATGGGCTGTGCTGTGAGCCAGGCTTGGAAGGCAAGTCCTTGCCTCTGCAGAGCAGCCTCCTTCCAAAAGTCTGCTCACTCTGGGTCACCATGGAGGGACTGGAGAACAGACTCTGTAACTTCACAGATGGCCAGGACCAGGAGGCATTGCAGTCCATTTCCTCCTTCAGCTTTGATGTGCACCATGAGTGCAGTGCCAGCTGCCAGGCTGGCCACCAGCGAGAGCTGGAGCCTCTTGACAGGCAAGGGCCAGGCATCAGTAGCTGTAAATTACAGCTACAGCCTTCAGATGTCCTGGGAGCATCCAGGCAGCCTTGACAGCAGTGCTGGTGTGACGTGATCAGTTAGAGCAGCTCATGGCTTTTCTGCATCAGTTTCTGTTCATTTGAGAGACAGTCCCATGCAGAGAACCCTGGTGTAGGCTCAAGGTGTGGAGGGATGCTATGGTGGCACCCAAGGTGACAATGCAGTGGGTTGTGAGGATGGAGAGGTTCTGGGCTGCCGTTATGCAGATGCCATACACGGTCTCCTGTTCTGGACGCATATCTGTGGCTGATGGCAGTGTTATTTCTACCACTGGCTCATAGTGGGTGGCTCACAGCACTAAATTCAAGAAGGTCTAAAGCCAAGGCCATGAATTCTGCTGAGGAAGAACAGCACTAGGGTCTGTGCTAGCCCTTTGTGGTGGGATGCAGTGCTGCTGTGGATAGGTTTTCGAGCTGCTTATCAAGTCCTACATTTATCAGAGTTGCCATCTTTAGCTGGGCTGCCCTTTGCTTCCATGCCTTGGGAAGCAGAGAGATGCTTGTACTGCAGCAGTCCATGTCGTCCCTGCCTCCTTGATAAGGAGAGTTTGTCAAGTTATCAACTCGGAGCCTGTTTCATAGGACTTTTGCTGATGTATGCTCCTGTGTCTGCCCTCAGCCTGTATGCAGGGTGACTCAAAGGCAGCTGAACATCACTGTGCAGAAAAAAGAGAGTAACTGGTGGGAGAGGCTCACCAAGCAAGAGAAGCGCCCGCTCTTCCTGGCTCCTGACTTTGACCGCTGGTTAGATGAATCAGACGCTGAAATGGAACTGAAGGAGAAGGTCAGTCCTGTGGGCACGCATGGCTTGTGCTGCCAGCTGCAAAGCAAGACCAGGTGTCCTCCTACACTTGAACTTGTGTTCTTCATTTACCTGGAGTTGTCTGGCGTGCTGATTGTTACTGCTGTTTCATACAGGTCCCACGCAGAATTGGTTAAACAGTTCAAATTAGAAGCAGGGATTCAGAAATAGGCACACCTCTGGCTAGAAAGAGCAGCAGTGTGAACCTGAACTTGCTCAGTGCTGGCCAGGGCCTGCAGCCAAAAGCTTGCACCCCTTGCCCTGCACCTCAGCAGCCCTGTGTCCTGATCCATATGAGGATCCTCTCAATATGGAGCCCATACGTGCCAATCCCAGGCATTGCTTGATTGGATTTCTAAGGCAATCCTGATGGCACATTCCCACCATCTGGTGAGCTGGAGCAGCTTACTGCAGCAGGGAGATGTGAGACCATCTCAGAAAAGACTTGAAGAGATCCCCTTTCTGCTAATCTGTTTTATAACAAACACTGCCCTGTTCCCCTCCACAGCCCCTGAGCTTAGCGCAGAGGAGGAAGGGCTGCTGCAATGCCAGCAGCCACAAAGCAGTGCTGAAGGGCAGGCAGGGAGCCTGGGCTGGATGTTCTCATTTTCCTTCATATCAATGGTGGGTCATGAACTGTTTGAAGGACCAGCCCTAAGGAGCAGTAATAACTGAGAATTAACAAAGAAAGCAGCAGGCTTTTCCAGCAAAGGCATCTAATTACTACAACACAATCCCTAGGAAAGGCATGGTAATGAGTTAACACCCTCTAGCTTTTACTGTATCATAATTCCTGGATGATGAGTGCTGGTTTATTCAGGTGAAGTTTTAAACCCTTTGGCACTTGGCTGCATAGCAGAGTTTTAAACCCACTAGCTTTGCAGTAGTACTGTTAACAAATCACTTGCTAATTACAGTAAAGTCTTTAAAACCTTATCCTTCATCTTAAGGAAGAAGAAAAGATTAACAAAATGAAAATAGAATCCAGAGTCCCAAAAGACCGTAAGTAACTGAACCTTTGGAGGGTGGAAGGTGGGGTTTAGAAGGCTTCTGTCGCTCTTACATACTCAACTCTCATGGAGCAATTTTGACTGGTTTGGTGCATCTTGGAGGGGGATCTTTGTACTGTGTGAGCTGTTTGGAAATGTAATAAAACCAGACTGCAGTTTCCAATGAGTTTAAAAGTCTAACTAGTGAGAAGTGAGTTTTAGATGATGGTAAAAGCAACAGACCCCACAGTGCACACTGCAACCCTTTTACTGCAATCAATAGCTTCCCTTTCTCTTGTTCTTTGTTTGCTTGGTTTGCAGCTGCACTCTTTGCAGAAGTGGTGCCACTGTTCTCTGCTCACCTGGTGTGTTTGTTATTGATTTTAGCTTTCAGACACCTGAAGAAGGGCTACTTAATCATGTATAATCTTGTGCAGTTTTTGGGATTCTCTTGGATTTTTGTGAACATGACAGTACGACTGTTCATCCTGGGCAAAGGCAAGTAACAAGCACTTTCATCTACACTGGGGGTTTTGTTTGGGGTTTTTCTTTTAGTGGTGTTTTTAACCCTTTTAAAGTAGTGAAACGTAAAGGCTTCTTTAAGAAATAAAACCATAAATGCAAGCGCACAGCAAAAGCCTCTTAAAAGCTATCACAGTCTCAAGGATAGGAAAATACTGTCCTCTTGCACATCACAACAGTGCATTCTGATGAATGGTACTTGTTCTCTGCCAACATCACTTCTGAAGGAATCAGCTGGAGCAAAGTGTCTCTCGCTGCAGCATTGGTGTGTTTGGAAATGAGCCAGGTGGAATATGTTGGTTTTGAAGGAAGAACGACTCGTTCCATTGAGGTCCAGCTCTGCTGCTTCTTTGGTGATTACTGAAACAGCTCTTTATCCTTCTGTGTGTGAAGCAGGGCACTCGAGCAGTGTTTCTGGCCTGATTCTGCAACTTCAGGATCAGGCCTATAAAGAGGTTACATAATTATGCACCATGTTTTTTATCAACTACAACTCGAATCCTGTTACCAAAAGCTCTGCTGCTGCCCCAGCTTCCTGAACGTGGAAATTCATCTGTCCTCTGAAATGGTTTCCTGTGTCTTACAGATTCTTTCTACGATACATTTCACACCATTGCTGACATGATGTATTTCTGTCAGACCCTGGCGTTAATGGAGATCATGAATTCACTGATAGGACTAGTCAGATCACCCCTGCTACCCGCTGTAGCACAGGTAATTAATGTGTTAACTGTCTTCTCCTTGCTCTTCCTGTGTTTAAAATAAATCTCTATTTTACTCAAATGTCAAGACTCTCCCTATGTAACTGGTACAACCTCACTGGCACTGCACTAAAGAATGTATTACTCCAGAAGCATGAATCCATGCTTCCAAGGCTGTGCCAGGCTGTCTTCTTCCATCACATAGGTAAGATAGTTCAGGACATCAAAAGCAAGAAGCAGCTGATGAAAACTACATGATTTTGATTTGGAGCCAGTGCCATTCTTATCCTGGTTGTGCTTAAGAATGAGGAAAGATGGTTAAAGCTAAGATCCTTCACATTGCACCTAAATGCAGAGCAAATTGCATACTCACAAGACGCTCAGCTGCAGAATTCATTATGTGCTCAGCACGTTTCAGACATGACGAGTAGATATCGTGTGTGGTTTTGACAGCAAGCACTTGCTCCTTTGGTGAAGAGTGTGACTGTTCCTCAATTTGTTTTTCCCTCCCAGATATTTGGAAGAAACTTCATTTTGTTTGTTGTCCTGGGAAGCTTAGAGGAAATGCAGAGCAAACCTGTGGTGTTCTTTGTATTTTATTTCTGGAGTATCATTGAGCTGTTCAGGTTTGTGGGATTTCTCTTCCAGCAGTTTGTACAGAACAATGGGGTTGTTCCCAAGAGCTCTTTAAAGATTTTGTACCTTTTGGAAGAGCAACACTAGTACATTGGCCCCACAGGGTGAAATCTCCTTTAGTCACAGACAATCGCAGCCTTCCTAAGTTGCTCCATGTGCCAGAAGCTGGAACAAGGAGTCAGAAAAGAATGCTGCCCTGAACCTAGGGCAACCTGTTGCTTTGAATTCCCATCACTAAGTGAGCTGCACTGGACTGTTTGTTGTTCAAAAGAAGTATTTTGACAGCTCAGTTTGGCAATCCAGGCAGTTGCATCCAACTATTAGTTCTATAGACTGCCAAATAAAGGTGTGTCCATCATGATCCATAGGAACCATTTCTGGAATATTCTCGGGGTGTTTAGGAATTATGTGGGCTATACAGCATATATATATATGCAAGACTAATTCCAGCTGCAGCTTGCATTTTAAACAGTGACTGTTTCTTCTCACACTGAATTGGCTTTAGGTATCCCTATTACATGCTCTCGTGCATTGGTATTGAATGGAAACCACTAACCTGGCTGCGTTATACCGCCTGGATCCCTCTCTACCCCTTAGGAGGCTTGGCAGAAGGTAGGTCCAAACCAGCCAGTTTAATAAATAAATGAATTCAAGGCTGGGCCTGTAAAGCCTTCTTTGTTGTTGGCTGCTAGACTTAAAAATAGTAAAGCAGAACAGATAAACAGACACTTGCTTTGAGCTGAATCCAATGTAAGCATTTTTGTCTTTCTTGCTGCAGCAAGTATTCTTTCCTGTTTGATGTGAAAAGAAGTCTTCCTTTTGAGCACTGTCTTGCTCATCTTCCTGCTGTACCCCCTCTGGAGTGGGGGCTTTACAGTGTGCTCTTCTGTCTTAACAAGTTTAGGTTATATTTAGTATTCACTTATTGAGGAAGCATAGCACCCCTCAGCTTCTCCCTGTAAGAGATGTGTTGTAACTGTACCTGTCAGAACGTGTTTCTTTGAGTCAGGAGTAGGCTTGGGCATTGCCCAACTCCAGGCCAGGAAAGACTGTGCCTGTTTTGTTGCTGTGGGAATCTCTGCATGGTAAATACTGCTGGCATGGGCCCTGCAGGCTACAGTTGTGTATGAGAGCAGTGTCTCGGCCAGGCAAGTTCACTGTGCTTAGACTTCCACAGCTGAACTGCTACACTGCTTTCCATCCTACTGCATGCTTTAAAAACCAGCTTTAAAATTGGTATAGTTAATGAGAGCTGGGGAATATCCGGAAAGTGTGTATTTTATCTGTGTTCAGTAATGATGGTGACCTTCTGCTTTCAGCTGTCTGCATCATTCAGTCCATTCCAATCTTCAGTGAAACAGGGAAATTCAGCCTGGGATTGCCAAACCCACTCAATGTCACAATCCAGTTTTCATTTTTGCTTCAAGTATATCTTATAATCCTGTTTTTAGGTAAGAGATTCAATTGTATTTCTCACTACTGAAATTAAAAGGCCCAATTCCTCTGAATAAGTGTATTTATCAAAGAAAATGAAATTCCTGCCTCTTGGGGATTACAGTAACCCAAATTTGCCTGACGTTAAGTATTATCTTTGTTGCTTGTTTATGAAAGTTTGTCATAGATGGAGGGGAACACACCTACAGTTAACACTGGTTAGCCCCCCAAGAAGGAGACCTTGGTGACAGCAGTGTTAGCTACTGATCACTTGGGTTAAAAGAGTAATGTTTATATGTAACTTCAGTATACGTAGTTTCACCTTTTACATTGTATTTGAGCTTTAGGATGATTCAGTGGAAATCTAAACATAATTTCAGGTTAAAGCAGTGCTTAAAGAAACTTATAATTACTTATAAAGAAACTTATAATCACTAATGCAACATGAAGTTGTTTTTCCATGGAACAATATAGAAGGCTCTTTAAATAGTAATTATCTTCATAAGGAAGAATTATGCTTTATGCATGTTTGGTTTCTGGTGTTAGTTTTTACCATACTTTGTAGTATGCACACCCCGTATATCTGGGTACCCACAACAATTCTAACGTAGCTAATTTTAAACGGAATTTCCCCTAGATTTCTCCCTTTCACAGACACTGAGCATTAAGAAGATGTGGTGATGTCTCCTACCTAAATGCTTCATTCTCTTTCAGGGATATTTGTAAACTTCCGTCATCTCTACAAGCAAAGGAAACAGCACCTCGGACCAAAGAAGAGAAAGGTGAAGTGAAGGAGGACTGCAATGCTTTCTTACCTAACTTATCTCAAGATAAGCCTCTAATTCTTATGGTTTTACCCACTGTAATGTAAAGAATTTTGTAAAATTCAATGATCACCCTAGATCTCATGATTTCAGGTAGCATTCCATATACTGTATTTTGTTCTTTTCAATCACTGTATGCATGGCACTTACCACTGAACAGCAACCTTTAAACTTGTATCCTGTCAACTACCATATTAGAAATCCTATTATCTGCATATAATATGCTTATAAACAGTGGAGCAGCACTAAATAGAAATAGTGTGAAATTGGATATTTGCTCTTTCAATATTGCATGCAGATAGGGCTTCTGATGTCAGGATAGACTATTAGCTGGCCTATGTTGTTCCCAGGGTGCATCGTGATGGCAGGAGGAGCACGTCTGAGACCACTGGGAACAGTGTTTGGGTGTTTATTAACTGCTGGGGTAAACTTGCTCAGCACCTACCCTCCCCCTTTTCTTCTGCAGCATCAGTTTGCTGCAGAGTTTAAACTGGAAGTAGCTAACGCAGATTTAAATGCTACCAACTTAGTTTCTAGCTTAGGAGTGCTGTGAGGACCCAAGCAACACACGTATTCCTGTAGCAACACATCCTATCCCGTCATTAGGGAAAGGAACCTGCCACTCTGTGAAAAGGTCAGAAATGCATTCCTGGTTGGTAATGCAAGCACTGAAACATAAGACAATAAGGAAACATAGGTCCCCTAATATGTAAACCCCAACAGAAATCCATTCCACCTGTGCAAAGCCTCCTTTGATCGTTCCTGGCAGGGCTGTTGCTCCCACATATACAGCCTTCAGAAAGGCAGTAAGGGTTGCTTTTCTACTTAAACTTAGGGGTGCAGCAGAGAAGTTGGTGTATATACTTTGCTGGTTGGCCCCTGCCGAGGTGGAGTCAAATAAGCCATATATTGTGTAGATAGCATATATTAAATCTTAATAAGGGATCTCCTACACAGGGTTTGAAGGGACCATTTCCTCTATGTTTGCTTCAAACAACAGAGAAGCTCACCCCACATTCCAGATCATCTACTCACCTGGAAGCCTGTGTTGCAGGTGATTTCATTTCAGCATGTCCTTTCTCACACCTTGCCTGCTGCAGTTACTCCAGATCCCTCTGGCCTCCTTAATCCAGTTTAGAACATGTACAGGAAGTTTTGTCTAAGGCATATTGTGGTAATCAGCAAGTTGCTTCACAACTGCCACTGCCCCAGGGCAATGCAAAGCAATGCCAGCAATCCAGAACAGGCACTGAAGTTGAGATTAGTTTAGTGCCATGTTACTATTCATCTTCTACTGTAAAATAGTCTGAATCCTCCAGAAAATTATTTTCTATATTAAAGGAAACAAACAGCTTGCTATCTGTGATAGGGACCCAGTGACTGTTACTGTAAAGGAAAGGAAATAGGGTTATGAAAAGATTTTAACACAACTGGTACAAGCTCCACGCTACATTTCATAAAGAGCTACAACTTCCCTTCAGGGACACTTGAGACTCTCTCAAAGGAGAGTGCAGCTTACTTTACTCAGGAGAGTTAAGCATTACTTACACACTTAGTACTTAGCACACACTGTACCTGTGTGAAGTATGTCAAAGGACTGAATTAGCTGAGTAATAGAACAGCAAGGATCACTTCTTTTAATTTCTCCACTGGGCATTTACACTTCAGTTATGAATTCTGTATGTATTCATGCACTGTATTTCTCAGTGAAATTGTGGTACCTAGTGCAAGCTGTCATGGATCTTACACTACTGAATTTTAGCCCTTCAGAAAGAATGTGTTTATATTAATAAAGATTTACAACCAAATGTTGCTTTGGTTCGTTTGTTTGTTCTTTCCCTGAATGGAGAAATTGCACAACTGAATTATTTAACTCTTGTGATAAACAGGCCAATGTTTTAGGCCACACAGCCTGGATGCTATGAACATGGAACATAATCCAAACTAAGTTTTAATGAAGAACTAGTCTTTATTAATATTACACAAATAAAAAACATGTCTCACAAGATTTCAGTTACTTTCACAAGCATAAGCACTGCCATGCAAGTGATGATAACTCTCACTAGGGCAGTACAGACTGACTTCCAGGTCGGGCATAAAATCAGAGACAACACCCTGTAATTAGCTGCATTTGATCTTGCACAGTGATTCTCACACATTTTCTTTGGACTAATCAAGTCACTGTATGAAGTAGAGTAGCTGCCTTTTAGGATACTCCTACCAGTGATTTCAGTTATGTAGTAACTGCATTTTAGGGAGGCCAAAAGCCATGAGCAGTCTGCTGATGGCGTTTTCTCTCCTCTCATGTACTGAGTAGCTTCCACCCATCACCCAACACAGTAATTGACTTCAGGAAGCTTTCCACTGTTTCCAGGTCTGACAAAAGCCCCCCCAAACTAGCTATACTTCTTTAGAGAGCACTGATGCAGGTCAGGGACCCCATTTTGATAGGAAGCTCTCCAAACAGTAATTAAACAGGCCCTAGAAAGTAAGCAGGGCAAGAAGAGCTGAACCACTTGAGTCTTAACCTATAGAAGTTCCCCAAATGGAGACTTTACATTCTCTCAGTGGTGCTGCTGGAAAAGTCTGTCTGGAGTGGAGCAATGTTATGATCATAGGCAGCATATTCTGACGCTCCAGTACTTGCCACTTTGAGCTGCTGAGCAGCATGGGTGAGCTGAAAGGCTGCGTCGGGGTGAGCTGTGTCAGGAAGCAGAGTGCACTCCCGCTCCAGCATGTCTGCCACACCTTTCAGGAGGTCCAAAAAGCCAAAGGCCAGAGCTGCCTTTCGTAAGCGATTCAGTTCCTGCAAAGAAGGAAAATGCCTTTTAAAGCCACTATGAGCCTCTCCACAAAAAAGTGGTTTCTTGCTTCTTATTTTAAAGGCAAGCTTCTTCACTTGAGAGGAATATAACCCGAGTGATCAATTCAGCTGCTGGAAACCGCTCAGCCATTCATGAGATAAAAGGGCTTTAGGGCTGAAGATGATAGTGGCACAACTGAAAAGTTGGTTTCCCCTTGATCCCTTCCTATAAATTTCCACTTCTCCCTTTTGTGCTGTTGTACCTGCCTGTTTTGGCTGTGTCCCAGCAGAGGTGGCCTCCAGCTCAGGCTTCACTGACTGCTGCTTTCAACCACAGTGTCCAGCAAAATGTATCTATATTGATTTTTCTTTCCTGTACACTGACCAGTGCTTATTCATGCTTGAAGTCTCTGGGGCTACAATATCAAACTGTTTCAGCACTAAACCTACAGGAGGAACAACAATTACCTTCATCTATAGCGTAGATCATGGACTATTATAATGTGGCCACATGTGCCTGGAATTTGGTCTTTCTCCACTTCAGTTGCAGAAACAATACAGGAGGCATTTTCAGACTCAGAATTGCATTGCTATTTCTGTCTGATCCCAGTTTATTTCTGCCTGGACAACAGCATAAACTCTGCAAAGAAGTTCACCATGGAAGTAGCAAGAATCATGTAAACATGACATGTCTATGCCCCCCTGGCAGAGAACATGGTGGCAGGAAATCAGACTCCCTTGTCTAACCCTAACTAGTCTGTAAAACAGACCCAGGATGTCTCTTTTACCATGTAAGTTTCCACAGAGCCCTGCAAGCCTCCACAGAGCACACAGTATGGGTTCCCCTGTCGAATGCACCACTACCACTGGATCAAAGGTGGGCAGCCTGAAATATTACTCACTTTATAGAAGGTCTGAGTTTTTTCCGGGAGTTTCCTTGCATTTCTCAGGATCTTCTGTACATCTGTCTGCAGGAAAGACAAACAAATACATAAAGCTCTTGGCAACTGCTGGGGAAGCTGCAGAAGAAGCCCTCCACTACTTACTGGTAAATGACCCTGAGAAGACTGAGCACACAAAGGCTCCAACAAATGGTCATTATACTAAATCCAATAAACTAAGCCAGATGCTACACTAGAGACACAGTTTCATTAAACAAGTTATGCTTTCTGATTGCATTTTAATCATGACATTTTAAAGAGGCAGAGTTTATTAAAATGAAAGAAAAGCAATAAAGCAATTGCATTAAACAGACAAGACACACACGGACTCCACTTTGCTGATAAGATGGCTGCTGCTGATGAAAGCAAAGCATCAAGTCCAAAACTCATCTCATTACCTGGAGGCCACTTGGTTTAATCCATACAGTAACATTCTGTGCATAGCTGCGCTTGTTCTTGGGTTGCAAAGGGAAAGGGCTCTTATTGTCATCCTCTCCGTAAGGATTTTCTTTTGCATCTGGGAGAAAAAAGAAAATAAATGGATTTAACAACTAAGATTTGTCAAGATCTTTCTCACAACACTCGGTGTGTAAGAGTTATTCAAATGAGCATGACCAGTACCTGAAATGGGTCCAAGCTGTGCCATCTTCCCAAGCCATGGAAGGGGCTCAGGACCAGGTTCAAAGAGCGACATCATGAGATTTGATTTCTTCTTACTATCTGCTTGTGAATAGAGCATTCCATACCACTCTGGCCTATTGAAAAGAGCAAATTCCAAAGGCTGAATTCTTTGCCTTAAATCTGCTGCCCTCCCACTGTGTGGAGGCTCATTATTTGCAATTTCTACTGGCAGAAACATATCCACAATTAAAACCACACAGCTTTGTCTACCAGTGCTGAGCTCTGTACAGAACACATATAAATAATTTACAACTAAAGCATCAATGAGCAAAATAAGAGATTTTTCAGGCAGCCATCCAGGTCCATACCCCAGCTGGACGACAGCCACCATGCCTTCCACTTTCAGGCTGCCATGTAATAAAACACAGAAGTTGGGGATTTTCCCAGCAATCTGATTAGCTGAATTCTCATCTTCGGTGTCATCAGTGATCCCAGGTCCCACCTCATCACCTTCTGGGGAAGAATAAAAGCAAGCAAAGAGATAACATGAGGATAAATTCAAACACATGAGTTCCATTTCCATGACACCACCCTGTAGTTTCTACCATGCAGGAGTTAATGAATACTTTTGTAGAACAACCAGCTGCTAAATGGGCTGTTTGGGCAAAGCAGCACTATAATGTTAAATCAGTATTGCCCTGTATCCTACTTGCAAAACAGAGTTGCCAAAAAGCTGCAACTAAAACCTCAGCTTTGAAGAAATTAGAAGTGAAATGAAACAACACAAAGGGTTTGGCAACAAATACAAGTCTGCCTCTGAACCAAAAGCATCCTGAATTTCAAGTTTGCCTCTCCTATGCAGTTTGCGGCTACAATGAGAAACTGACTTTGTTTTAGCAGCTGGAATACAGCTGTGATTTAACTGTTGATATCTTCAAAGGAGAAAGGCTTATACAGAGATGAAAGCATATTTGGAGCTTGCTTTCTTCTTTATCAAGAGAAATCTCACTTTCTCTTTGCTCTACTCCAAGGCCATGACAAAGGGGGAAATCCTTTTAACCACAGGCTGCAGCACTCAAGTAGCTGCAAGTCAGTAACATGCTGCTTAACCATCCTCAAAGCCTACACCAGTCAGTTGTGTAGATACAATACCCTTGGCCCCAGTGAGCAGCAATTAATGCTTAAGAACAAGTGAGCAGTCTGGTTGCGATTAAGATCAGATTTTTCACAACAACACATCATTCTGAGGTGTTAAATATTCATCTTGCACCACAGATTTTATGGCCCATGATTACATTTAGCTTTAAGTGTAGCATGTTCTATTAATAATGATGCCATAAGGATACTGTTCCCTCTATTAAATTTCTAAAGAACACAGTATTTCCAGAGAGTTCAAGGTTTTCATTTTAATGTAACCACATAAACATGTCTTTAGAGGCATCTCCCATTTTGATACAGTAAAGGACCTGTGCTTTCGGTCTAAACCACCACAGACAACACAAGGGAAGCTTATAGTAGGTTTTGCTAAAAGAAATAGAACTTGCTCACCTCTGTTAAGTGCAATGGGCAGAACCAAGTGTCTGGACAAGACAGGAGGGCTAGAAATGTCAGCTATATCTACAAACCCAACGATTTCTAGATCTGTGGGGAGACAACAGGTTTAAGTCAGGTTTGGAAAAGGCTGTGTTCAGAGTCAATTTAACATTACCACTTCTTCCACCACTAAGTTTTCTGAAGCAGTGACAAGAGGCAGCCCAACAGAGCCCCAACCTTGACCAGGGTGTCTAACAAACAGTCATGCATAATACCATGACCCTTTAAGATGAGAACATAACTTTCATCACACTCATGCTACTGTCCATGAGCTGTGCTGCAAGGCAAATACAGAACTGTGCACATTGGTTTTCACACTGCAGACAATCCACTGCCATTTTATGCATTCAAAATAAGAGAAAACAAAGGACTAAACCAAACCCAGCCCGTTTTGCAGCTGGAACTAGGGAGCACAGGCTTCTCCTTGACAGCCCAAGTGAAGGACCTGGCTCAAAGGCAATTCAGTTGATTTTTCTCATAGCTGAATAATGAACACCTGATTAAAGCCATGGAGGAATTCAGGGGCTGAGCACACCATAGGCTGCATTTTACTGCATACGGAGCAAAATTTCCTTTATGCAAATTCCTATCTTTGGAATAATCAGAGGGACTCTAGGACTGAATGTAACATAAAATCTCCCTCATCAAGGCACACTGTGTCTCTTTTTTCTTTGCTTTTGCTATTTTGGTACAGACACACTCACTCCTATTTAAACACCATGCAGCTACAAATCAGAAGTGATCACCCCCCAAATGACGAATAGTTTTGCCCCCTCTTGTAGATTTAAAAGCCCCAAACAAATCAAGGCAATGTTGGTGGCAGGGAGTTCTGGGTTGCAGTTCCCTTCCT